GTGTCTTTGAGGAGACTGGAAAAGGTACCAAATCAATGAGTGAGGAATGTGGTTGGGTAGGTCATTCATTTAGTCCTTCAGCCCAATGCTTAGCATATAGATGGCATTAGGAAAGTGTGTTGAATGAATGAATGACAAAGTAGAAGAGCTGCATTCTGTTCTGGCATAGGCAGACAAGGATCACATGATTTCCCTCCTAGGCTCACTCACCACAGGGAAGGAGGTGTATAAAGGGGCCCAGCTGCTGGATAGATGTGGAGGAGTGCCTGGGAGGGTCAGAGAAGAGATGCTACAAGGGGCCAGAAGATGCTTCCTAGAGAAAGTAACTTTGGAACCAGTCTTTGAAGGTTGAATAGAAGTTCACCACAAAGACAGGGTGTGGAAGGGCCTTCCAGGGCAAAAGTTCTGAAACGTGAGCCCGAGTGGAAGTTGATTGGCATGCATTTGGAAAGGACCTGTGTTGTAACTTTCTCTGTAGTCCAGGAGCAGAAGAGATAGGGTAAGGGCTTGGCAAGGCAGGCATGTGCTAAGAGCAAATGGGGTGGTGAACAATCTAGGAGACTAAGGAGAAAATCACTCGTCCACCTGTCAGGTGAGGGTATGAATGGACTCTAGGGAAAAAGAAAACCCTGCAACTAGAAGTTATAACAAGGAATCCTTACAGGTTCAAATGGAGGAGGCAGTCAAGAGGCGGTTGTGGTCAGAATGGGATTTCAGAAACTGTGGACCTCGGTGTGGGGCAATATAGACTGGTGGTGAGGCCTCTGTCCACCGTTTCCCAGCCTAAGAAGGAAGAAGATGGACTAGCTGTCTAGGATAGGTCTAGAGAGAATCCGGTTCCTTTAGGCTCAGGAAAGTGCCTTTCCTTTGCTGTGTCATTGCATTCTCATACTGTGTTGTAACTGACTAGTTTTTGTGTGTCTTTCTCACTAGTCTGTAAGTTTTTTGAGGGCACAGACTGTCTTCACTGTTTTATCAGCACAGCACCACATATTAATGAATGACAGAAAGGTGAGGATATGCTGTAAATTTTGCAAATATAGATATCGAAACTCCTGAAAATGAGTCAAGGGGCAGGAGTGGTTAAGTCCAAGTACACAGACATTTGTAGAAGAGAGAAATAAGGCTGCCAAGGGATTGGAAGGGGACTCGAGAACAATAGGGTGTTGCAATAAAGAGCAGTGATCTTTCTGGATGATTTTTATTGCCTTCTGAATTGGTGGAGAGTGGGAAAGGTATGAACCCCAGCGTTTTATTTGGGTTTCTTCATTGTGTGTATGTATGTTACTGTTGTCTGTCATATAGATTATTAGGTCCTGTGAAAAATAGACTGTATTTTCCTAAGTTGGGAATAGTCCCATCTATCTCATTGGGGTTTTTTTTCTTTCCTTTTTTTTTTTTTTGTAAGTGATGGGGTCTAGGCTGGGCGAGGTGGCTCATGCCTGTAATCCTAGCACTCTGGGAGGCCAAGGTGGCCAGATCATTTGAGCTTAGGAGTTCGAGACCAGCCTAAGCAAGAGCGAGACCCCATCTCTACTAAAAATAGAAAGAAATTAATTGGCCAATTACAAATATAGAAAAAATTAGCTGGGCATGGTGGTGCATGCCTGTAGTCCCAGCTACTGAGAGGCTGAGGCAGGAGGATTGCTTGAGCCCAGGAGTTTGAGGTTGCTGTGAGCTAGGCTGACACCATGGCACTCCAGCCCAGGCAACAGAGTGAGACTCTGTCTCAAAAAAAAAAAAAAGAGATGAGGTCTAGCTTGCTGTCCAGGCTGGAGTGCAGTGGTGCAATCATGGTATACTGTAGTAGCCTCGAATTCCTGGGCTCAAATGAGCCTCCTGTCTCACCCTCCTGAGTAACTGGGACTGCAGGCTCATGCCACCATGGCTAGATAATTTTTCTTATTTTTTGTAGAGACAGTGTCTCACTGTGTTTGCCCAGGTTGGTCTCGAACTCCTGTGCTCAAGTGATCCCGTTACCTCATCCTCCCAAAGTGCTGGAATTAACAAGTGTGAGCCACCACACTCAGCCTCCATCTGTTTCTTTGAATGCATCAGTTTCATTTTTAAAATTATACCTTTCGAAGGAGTGTTCCTAGGGCTGAGAAACAATCCCATTTGTAGAGGTAGCCCTATCTCTGTCACTTAACCTTCCTTTAATGACCAATTAACCATCTAGAACAGTAAAATACCCCTTTTTTCCTTTGAAAATTTGTATAAACCATACATACTTTAAAAAATATATATATACACACACACTTAAATAATTATGAAGAGGATATTCACATCTATACTGCATCGGCCAAGAAATAGAACATAATCATGCCCCACAATCCCTCTCTGATTCAATCCCCTCCTTTGAAAATTTGTATAAACCATACATACTTTAAAATATATATATACACACACACACACACACACACTTAAATAATTATGAAGAGGATATTCACATCCATACTGCATAGGCCAAGAAATAGAACATAATCATGCCCCACAACCCCTCTCTGATTCAATCCCCTCCTTCCCTATGACAGTCACTACTTAAATTCTGTATTAGTCATTCCTTTTATTTATAGTTTTTTTTGTTTTGTTTTGTTTTTTGAGACAGAGTCTCGCTTTGTTGCCCAGGCTAGAGTGAATGCTGTGGCGTCAGCCTAGGTCACAGCAACCTCAAACTCCAGGGCTCAAGCAATCCTTCTGCCTCAGCCTCCCGAGTGGCTGGGATTACAGGCATGCGCCACCATGCCCGGTTAATTTTTTCTATATATATTAGTTGGTCAATTAATTTCTTTCTATTTTTAGTAGAGACAAGGTCTCGCTCTTGCTCAGGCTGGTTTCGAACTCCTGACCTCGAGTGATCCACCCACCTCGGCCTCCCAGAGTGCTAGGATTACAGGCGTGAGCCACTGCACCTGGCCTATAGTTTTGTTATTTTAAGACATAGGGTCTTGCTATGTTGCCCAGGCTGGACTCAAACTCCTGGGCTGAAGAGATCCTCTTGCCTCAGCCTCCCCTGTAGCTGGGACTTTAGGCATGTGCCACTGTGCCCAGCCTTTTCTTTATAGTTTTTAAAAAAAGCATGTACATCTGTGTGTCTACATAAACACACATATATATGGTTAAAAATGTATATGCTTGAACTTTATGTTAATGGAATCATACTGTATATGTATTGTTTTGTGACTTCATTCACATGATATTAAGTTTTTATAAGTTACCCAGGTTGAGGTATGTATGTAGCTGTAATTCATTCATTGTTATGCAGTGTAGGATTCTACTGTCTGAAAACACCATAGCCTATTTAATATATTTGACTATTGATGGATGTCTGTTTTTGTACTTTTTTCTGTTAAAAGTAATACTACTATAAATATTTTTGTGTATGTGCAAAAATTTCTCTAAGGCATATACCTAGAAGTATAACTACTAGTTTGTGCAGTAAATACAAAGTAGTTACACCAATTTACTCTCCCACTAGAATGTATGAGAATTGCTGTTCCTCTGTACCCTTGCCAACGCTTGGTATTGCCTGACTTTTAAAATTTTTTTCTCAACTGGGCATCATTTTTATTTGAGCAAAGTAATATTGCAGTGTTACTTATGAAAGTAAAGAATGTGCTTATAGCCAACAAGCTCATGAAATTATTATTTTTAATTATGTTTATAGACATAGAGGGTATAAGTGCAGTTTTGTTACATGGATATATTGCATAAAGTCTGGGCTTTTTGTGTAATCATCAGCTGATCAGTGTACATAGTGCCCATTAGGTAATTTCTCTTTCCACTTCCCCTTTCCACTCTCCTATCCTCCCACCTTTCTGAGTCTCCAGTGTCTGTCATTCAGCTATCTCTGTCCAGATGCACACATTAGTTAGCTCCCACTTATAAGTGAGAACATATGCAGTATTTGACTGTTTCTGAGTTATTGCACTTAAGAATGATGCCCTCCAGTTCCATCCATGTTGCTGCAAAAGACATGATTTCATTTTTTTGTGGCTGAGTAATATTCCATGGAATATATATATACACTGCATTTTCTTTATCCATTCATTTATTGATGGACACTTTAGGTTGATTCCCTATCTTTGCTATTTGTGAATAGTGCTACAGTAAAATATGTGGGCAAATATCTTTCTGATACGATTTTTGCTAGATCAAATGGTAGATCTATTTTTAGTTCTTTGAGAAATCTCCATACTGTTTTCCATAGAGATCATACTAATTTACATTCCCACCAACAGTATATAAGTGTTCCCTTTTCTCCACATTCTGGCCAATATGTATTGTTTTTTTTTGTTTGTTTGCTTTTTTTTTTTTTTACTTTTAAATAATGATTACCTGATGTCTTAATTTTATTTTTTTAATTTTTAAATTTTTTTGTAGAAATAGGATCTTGCTATTTTGCCCAGGCTGATATCAAACTCCTGGCCTCAGGAGTGAGCTACCAGGCCTGGCCCCGACTTTTAACCAGCATGGTACTTGTGAAATGGTAACAATTTGTGGTTTTAATTTGTATTTTCTTTTTTTTTTTTTTCTATAACACATACAACGTTTATTCCCAGCTCCTGTCTCTTTCCAGGAGTCTTGCCTGAAACTTCTTTTTTCCTGCCTACATTTTCTTGATGACATGAGATTGAACATCTTTTCATGTGTTTAGGAACCATTTATGTGTTCTCTCTGGTCAAATTCCTACTCATTATTTTGCAAATTTTTCAAGTAGGTTGTCTTTTCTCATTGATTCATAGCTGTTCTTTTATATTCTGAATGCTAATCCTTTGTCACTGTTATGTGAGTTGCAGATCAGCATGCTTGCTTTTTCATTCTGCAAATCTGGTCAGTTAAGAAGTGACTTCAGCAAACCTGGAGATTGAAACCTGGAGATTGGACCAAGCTTCTGTAGTCAAATGGCCTTGTGATTGTGCACAGGGCAGGTCGTGGTACTGGGAGTGAATGCATCCTAGTTACTGACTGCTACTGACCTGTGGTGCTTGCCTTTGCAGGTGGAACAGGAGGATTTTGTAATGGAAGGGCATGGCAAGACTCCACCTCCTGGTGAAGAAAGCAAACAGTGAGTCACAGTTTATTTTAAAAGGATCGTGTTACAGCTCTTTGGAAGCACTTTGGTTAAACTTGCTGAGAGCTTGTTTGCTGGGATATATACGTTGTAGACATTGTGGAACTCACCAGTTGCTTCGGTGGCTGTTAATGCATTGTCCTATTTATAGACTGACTAACTGGCGGGACAAGAAAGTTGGCTTTGTAGTTTTTCACACTTGACTAATCAAAATTTATGTTATGCTTTAGCAAAAGGCTTTAAGGCTCAATATGTTCCAAATCGAACTAATTCAGTTTGGTTGATTTCCAAAGAAAGTATAAAATGGTACAGCCTTTTCTTAGCAATGTCTTTATGAAGTGAACTAAATTAATAGACTACTTCCCTGCAATCCAAGTTTGAATTTATTTGAATAGTACTTCCTGAAATTCTATTCCATTTGGTTATTTACACTTCTGATCTTTGTTTAAATAAATTGTTTCTCCAAAGGAACAAAAATTATGAATAATATAACTTAGCCAACATTCTAAATAATTCAGGATCTCTCTCCTGACTTCTTAAGGGATGGTTGATTTTAAACCTGAAGTTGAGAATCTGCTGGGTAGCTTTTTGGTAGCAGTGAGTAAATTTTTTTCTTCCTTCTGTCACAGAATTTGAAAAATTGAGTTGCAGAGCAGACCAGTTTTTCATATGCCCTTTTAAAGGAAAAACAGTTAAGACTGGCTTAAAGTACCGACATAACTACTATTTTTTATTCAGACATTAGTCTCCTAAATTGAATAAGCCAGTGATTCATAGAATTTACCAAAAATCTGTGGAGGGAAACTCTTCTCTCTTATCCCTTTTCTTTCCTAGAAAATAGTTTAATTTTGGTCTGTCTTAAGAAAATTATATCTCTGAAACCTTTAGGAATCGATTATGCAGAATGGACTGTTGCTGCCACCAGGCCAGATTGATTAAAGGAGAATGGCTCTTGTCTTGTATTTGTTGTGAATGGAAACCAGGATATTTTCACAGCTGGGTTAATTTGCTAACCAGGCAGTTTTAAAAATAGCTTACAGTATAAATCCTAACTTTGCTGTATTCTATCAAATGTACTTATATTCTGCATGGGGTGATGGAATCAATTCATCTTTAGCAAATTATAATGCAAGACACCTAGTCCATACAGGATGACAGGAGAGAGACTTCAGGCACTTTTGTCCATGTCTCTCTCATACTCCCTCACCCCTGTAGTCTTGTCAAAGGTCTTATAATATAAAAATCATACCTCCCATTTGTCGAGGATTTTCTGTGCCTCAGGTACTTTGCTTAAATGTTTTTTAACCTGTCATTTCCACTTGTTACAGCTTATTATCTGCATTTCACTCAGAGATCAGGGTAGATAACTTGCCTGTGGTAACGCAGCTTGAAATGGAATTTAGATTTGAACCCAGATCTTACTAACTTTAAAGAGTTTTATAATATTACTCTCTCAAATCCTTTGCCATCCTTGGAAGCTGTGTTTCTTGAAAAATACTGTGGTTAGCAAAACTGTAGTTGTCAAAATCAAAGTCTCATGAATAACAGGGAGTTAGGGGAAACAGTGAAAATGGCATTAGGCCTATTTTTAAAACACAGGTGGGAGTTCTGTTCTCTAGAGGGTATCCATTTCCCAAACAGACCAGTCTTTATCTCTAAAAACCTGCACTAGTGGCCCCTGTCCTGAATCAGTTTCTTTAGGTATTCAGGAAACATTGCGGGGGCAGATTCTCCCACAAGTTTTATGTTATACAAACTATACTTCTTTCAGAGAGTTTCCAACGCCCAGCAGACTTGAAACGTCACGTGTGGTATCCTTACTGTTTGCCCTTATGTGCTTCCGTAAGTCTCATGCTACCCAGCCTTTTCACAGACGGCTTCTGTTCTGTTGTGGTTTTTCCTGGACCTGGTCTGCTATCATAAACTGAAGTGGTAAAGCAGAAATCAGTCCTCTCACTCTGAGCTCCTCTGTAGATCCACCCACCTCTCTGTGAGAATGGGGAGCAAAGATGCTGCCTTCTTTTGTTTGAGGCAACAACAATAAAAACATTTACCAAAAAAAATTTTTTTCAGAACTACAGTTGACAAATGATTATTATACTCTATAAGCATGATTGAATCAGTATAGGAGATCTAGGAACTGGATTTTTTTTCAATTATAAAAGTAACACATTCTTGTCATGTAACATTCAAACACTCCTTTCCCTCCTAATCTTCCTCAACATTTTCTGCACATTTTAAAACAACTAAATAGACTTTTTTCCCAACGTAATTCTTCTGCGATTTGCTTTTGTAATTTCACGTCTTTCCCTACCTATTTCATTCTTTTAAACATCTGTGAAACATTCCATTAAATAGATGTACTATGGTCACTGTTTTCTAATAGATATTTTGGTGACCCTCATTTCTTTGATTATTATAAATAATATTTTATTGAATGTCCTTATTCTTATATATTTCTACACACATGTATTTCTGTAGAATAGATTTCTAGAGATGGAGTGTAGTTTATGGGCATGTGTATTTGACATGGAAGCAGCTACTATCAACTTGCCTTCCAAAAATGCTGTACCAGGTTCATTTCCATCCACAGTGTGTGGCAGTGCCTGTTTCTCCATACCTTGGATGACAATAAAATATTTATCTTTAAATTTTTTCCACTGTAAAATTCTATTGTTTTAATTTGTACTTTTTTACTTACTAATGAGATTATTATATCTTTTGTTTATTGGCTGTTTATTTATTTTTATTTTATATATTTTTTAGTGATGGGTCTGGCTATATTGTCCAGGCTGGACTCTAACTCCTGGGCTCGAGAGATCCTCTGGCCTTATCCTCTAAAGTAGCTGGGACTACAGGCATGCACCAACATACTTGGCAATTGGATTTTTATTTTTATTTTATGTATCACCTATTTACATATATTCCCATTTTTCTATTGAATTGTTTGGTTTTATAGCTTTTAGGAGCCCTTTATAAATTTTAGCTATTAACCTTTATCTGTTGAGATGTTTTAAATATTTTCGTACAGTCCTTATCACTTAACATTGGGTATCTGTCATACTAACAAACCTTTTAAATTTTTATAGAGTGAAATCAATCATAAAGACTTTCATGTTTTTGCTTGCCTAGAGAAGTCTTCTATACCTAACATAATAAAATATCCTTATTTTTCTACTTTATTTATTACATTTAGACCTTTAATTGAACTGGTACTCATTTTTGTGTATGGTGCGAGGCAGACATCTAACTTAATTTTTTTCCAAATTGATTTCCAAAATAGCTCTCATTCATTGGCATTAGCCTGTGTGAATAGCCTGTTTCACTTATGAAGGCCAGTGGAGCACAGGGGTAATATAACTTGCTCAAGGTCACAGAGCAAATTCTTCTAAGGATTAGAGGTAAAATTATTTTGTTAGCTCGTCTGTGCCATTTTCCTTGTTTCCTCATTTAACATTTTAACCATAGATTCTGTAAGCCTTAAAATATATTTTATTTCTGTGATGTTTATTTCAATGGAACTAAGTTCTATTAGCAGGCAGATTAAGGTAGCTATGCATGTAGAAAGCTCTCTTGAAAAATAATTGACTTTTGATGTTGAGAAATATGTGTGGACCTGTTAATATTTAGATCAGTGTACTGAATTCTGGTGTGTATGTATGAATAAGATTTAGTAGACTGTATAGCTTTAAACACTTTATATATGTTGTTTTAATATTGTTGCTTTTTAATAGGATTTATTTACTATTAGTATATCTAATATAATTTTTCTGACGGTATTCACTTTGAGAGCTACTGTAGCAGCTCAATAGCTCTCAAAGTGAATAAACTCAGACAAGCTAAGTTTATTGCCATATAATTACTATATTAAAATTACACAGCTTTAATCGCATGACGTGTTTAATTTTAGAGTAAATATAAAAACTACGACAACTTTTCAAAAAGCAGCTGAGCAGGCATTTGCACATAGATTGTGTTTGATCATGCTTATTAAAAGCTCATGTCAGATAAAATGTTTCTACCCAGGCAGGCTTTTGATTTGATTTTATTTATTATATTGGTGATGGTCTAGGTCAGGCATCCTCAAACTATGGCCCGCAGGCCACATGAGGATTTTTTTCCCATTTGTTTCTTTACTTCAAGATAAGATATGTGCAGTGTGCATAGGAATTTGTTCATAGTTTTTTTTAAACCTCCAACGGTTTGAGGGACAGTGAACTTGCCCCCTGTTTAAAAAATTTGAGGACCCCTGGTCTAGGTATTTGTGGGATGAATATTTGTTTTAAAGTGATTTTGTCACGCCTGTAATCCTAGCACTCTGGGAGGCCAAGGCAGGAGGATTGCTCAAGGTCAGGACTTCGAATACAGCCTGAGCAAGAGCGAGACACCATCTCTACTATAAATAGAAAGAAATTAATTGGCCATCTAATATATATAGAAAAATTAGCCGGGCATGGTGGGGCATGCCTATAGTCCCAGCCACTTGGGAGGGTGAGTCAGTAGGATTGCTTGGGCCCGGGAGTTTGAGGTTGCTGTGAGCTAGGCTGATGCCACAGCACTTACTCTAGCCTGGGCAACAAAACAAGACTCTGTCTCAAAAAAATAAAGTAAAATAAAATAAAATAAAGTGATTTTGAAGCTAAATACCAATTTTGGTGTGGTAATAAGTTTAGCTCCTTTCATCTCTTCCTTCCTTTCTGTTTTTCAATATAACTTACAAACAAGTCTAAGCTTTAAATCTCACTGCTGAAATTGACTCAGATTCTCAAAAGATACTTGTCTTTATTTAACCTATTAAGATGATTGAATTTTTCTATTAAATTTTTATTGAATTTTCTTAATTCTTTTGGTTAATTTATGAAAGGCCATTATTAAAAGTAAATTCCTCAGAGTAGAATATTGAAGAGATATTTGCACAGCCCTGCTAATTACAGCATTATTCACAATAGTCAAGAGGGTGGGAGCAACCCAAATGTCCATCAAAAGATGAATGG